GAGGGGGCGAGTCCTCACACGCACAAGGCGACGAGTTCTTCCAGTAGAAGACGGCGAATCAACCATACACAAGGCAGCGAGTCCTTGAGCACGAGGCGGCGAGTTCTCATATACATAGTGTAGCGGATAAGTTTGAACATTTCGCATTCTTTAGAACTAATAATTTGTTTGTAGCATTCAAATTACCCTGTATCAGTTCGTTTTCAAAGCAAATCCGCGCATATACGAAACCATTTCAAAATGGCTGAAAACATCGATCTACAAAAAATAAAATTAAGAAAGAGGGTAGCAAAAGCTGGTTTCACACGGGTAGAAAATTTTATAAAAGCAATGGATATAAATACGGTCGATATTGAGGAATTAAAAATTAGACTAGATAAGTTGGAAGAATTAAGAAAGTCGTTAGAAGAAAGCGCTTGATGGAATTAAGCGTTCATGATAAAGAGGTAAGCGAAACGCAAGTAGAGCAAGAAATAGCTAACTACGAAGAAAAATACGTTAATTTGAAATTGATAGGCGAAAGAACAATAAAAGAACGCATTAGACCAGCTCTTGCTACAAATCTCGACCAATCGAGCGCAACACCTACCGTGATATCCAATAACAGCAGAAACAGAGTAAATGACATCCATGTACGATTGCCTAAAATTGAATTGCCCACCTTTAGTGGAGCCTATGAAGAATGGCACCCATTTTTCAGGATATTCGATTCATTAATTCACTCAAATGAAACCTTGAACGATATTCAAAAATTCCATTACCTAAAGTCCTCATTAAAGCGCGATGCTGCAGAAACTATATAATCATTGGAAATCACGGGAGCTAACTATAGCGACGCTTGGTCTAGACTAAAGGCTAGGTATGAAAATGAGCGCGTAAGTATCCAAAATCACATCAAATCCATTTTTGAATTACCAGTATTAAAAAAGGAAAACAGCATAGCATTGAGAGGTTTATTAGATAGCACGTTAAAGCATACCAGAGCGTTAGCTGCGTTAAAACGACCAATAGCTTATTGGGACGATTTATTGATATATATATTAGCTAGCAAACTAGACTACTTTACGATAAAGGAGTGGGAGAGTAGTCTAGACAGTAAGCAAGTACCAAAATTTGATGAGTTGATAGAGTTCTTAACAAAGCGGTGTGAAACTTTAGAAGCCGTTGCTAGAAGGAGTCTATCTATGGAGTCATCTAGTAAGCCTCGCCAAATGGCCGGTAAAACGACAAACGCACATGCAGCGGTAATAAGCGTGAAATGTGCACATTGTAAGGGCGACCACCAAATTTATCAGTGTAAAACATTCAAAGAGCTTCCAGTTACAGACCGTTTAAACAAGGTGAGATCTCTAAAATTATGTCTTAATTGTTTGAAGGGCAAGCATTTTGCTAAGTGTTGTAACGCCGGCCACTGTAGAAGGTGTATGAAAAAGCACAGCACTTTGTTACACGATGATCGCACTTCGTCAAAAGAGAAGAACGAGGACACAAATAAGCCAAACTCTAGTTCCGATAAGGAGGCATGTAAGAAGGAAAATACAATATGTACGTACACACAATCAAAAAGGATATTTACTTCAGTACAGGTATTATTATCTACGGCAGTAGTATTAGTCAAAGACCGCGACGGGCATTACATAGAAGGTAAAGCATTACTTGACAACGGGTCTCAATCCAATTTTATTACTGAGGAGTTCATTAAGAAATTAAACGTAAGAACAAAGGAAAATCATATAGAGATAAAAGGTATAAACCAACACGTATCACATGCTATGAAATCAGTACAATTGCATTTAAGTTCACGATTTAATACCTTCGGAATGGATATGCAATTCATAGTATTGGAAAAGATTACACAAAATTTACCTACAATCGAAGTAAACGTAACAGATTTAGATATACCAAAAAATATTAAATTGGCAGATCCAAGATTCAACATTCCAAGTAAGATAGATATATTAATCGGTGCAGAAAGATTTTGGGAACTAGTTTGCATGGGTCAAATAAAATTAGGCAGAAACAAACCAATATTACAAAAATCGTTACTAGGTTGGTTAGTGTCAGGGTCAGTTAACAAAATCGAGTAAAAAAAACGCTCACAAACAAGTTGCAATCTGAGTACATTAGAAGAATTATGTCAAAAGATTCAAAGGTTCTGGGAGATAGAAAATTACGCGAATACGGAGAATAGTACTTCAGAGGAAAGGTACTGCGAAAGGCTATTTGAAACTAGTTACATACGACGAGATGATGGTAGGTTTGTAGTCCAACTGCCAGTCAAAAAAGAGATATTGCCATTGTTGAATGGTTCGAGGGAGGTAGCCTTAAAGAGATTTTTAGCGTTAGAACGAAAACTCAGTTACAACCCTGAATTAAAAAGGGAATACATTGCGTTTATGAAGGAATACCAGCAGTTAGAGAATATGAATCGGGTAGAGATGAATAGAGATGATAATTTTCGAGTATTTTTGCCACACCAAGCGGTAATAAAAGAAACCAGTATTACGACTAAAACTAGAGTAGTTTTCGACGCTTCTAGTCAATATGCCAAGGGGAAATCCTTAAATGACGCTCTATATAAGGGCCCCACAATACAATCAGATTTATTTTCCTTAATAATCCAATTTCGAGGTTACAAATACGTGTTGTGTGCTGATGTGGAAAAAATGTATAGACAGATATTAATTGGATTCAGACAAATCAACGTGTAACAAAGAGGAAAGTGCTATCGCAAACATGCAAACTATTTGATCCGTTAGGATTAGTAGGACCGGTAATAACATTAACAAAAATTCTAATGCAAAGCATGTGGAGTTCAGGCGTAAAATGGGACGAATCAATGCCCATGCACATTCATAGGGAGTGGGAGCGAATAAGATCACAATTACATGTACTCATGGACTGCAAATTCCTAGGTTAATTATATCAGGAGAAGGCCAGGTCCAACTACAGTTGCATGGCTTTTGTGACGCAAGCTAAGCGGCGTACGGCGCATGCGTGTATATACGCGAAAGAAACGAGCGAGGAGAAGTCGTGGTAACTTCAGTCTGTTCCAAGTCACGCGTAGCTCCAATGAAAGCGTTATCACTACCCCGTTTAGAGTTATGTGGAGCCGTTTTGTTAACAAAATTGATGAATCGAGTATTAGCTAGTCTGAAGTTAGAAATAGCACAAAAGGTTTACTGGACGGACTCTAAAATCGTATTAGCTTGGATAAACTCCTTCTCTAGAAAATGGCATTTATTTGTCGCGAACCGAGTAAGCGAAATACACAATGATTCCACACCTTCCGAATGGAATCACGTAGGAACTAAAGACAACCCTGCGGACCTAGTATCGAGGGGTACAACACCAGAGCAATTGGTGAATTCTAACATTTGGTGGAATGGACCCCAGTGGTTGAAGCAAGAGACTGATGAATGGCCCGGGGAAGGTGTCGAATTATTAACGAACGTACCTGAAGAACGAAAACAAACGGTGACGACAGTAGTTACTAATTGCGATACTGTTATTGAATATAAGAGATTTTCGTCATTATATAAGTTGTTACGAGTAGCAGCGTACATGTTAAGAACGTACAACATGTTAAGAATTATTAGCAATAATAGGAGTAATAAAGAAAATCGCAGGATGAGCGCGATAAGTGCGGAGGAAATTAAAATAGCTAAGGTAAAGGTAATTATGTTAGTGCAATCCGAAAGTTTTTCAGACGAAATAAAAATATTAAAATCAAGCAAGAGAGTGCAAAGAAGTTCAAGACTAATAGCCCTTTTACCTTTTCTTGATAACGGAATATTAAGAGGGGGAGGAAGACTGAAACACGCGGTTCTACCGGAAGAGGTTAAACATCCTACAATACTACCATCGCATCACTATTTCACAAGGCTGGTGATTATACACTACCATGAGAAGTTGCTTCATGCCGGAGTCCAGACTACATTAAGCAATATTAGAGAAGAATTTTGGCCAATATTTGCAAGAAGTAGAGTAAAAGAGATACTACACAAATGTATCAAGTGCCGAAAGGCAAATCCCAAGGCCAGTTGGCAACTCATGGGACAATTATCGATGGCCCGAGTCAGCGCAGCACGACCCTTTCACAATACAGGAGTTGATTACTGTGGCCCTTTCTATATTCGGGACCGCATTAGGCGCAACAGTAAGAAATATAAAGCTTACGCAACCTTTATATGTATGTCTGTAAAGGCAGTACACGTTGAATTAGTAGAGGATTTGAGTGCTGATTCATTCATCGCAGCGGTGAAGAGACTTATAGCTCGGAAAGGAAAAGTTGGGAACCTGTACTCCGACAATGGAACTAACTTCGTCGGGGCAGAACGCGTATTACGACAAGTATTCGAGACTAAAGAATTTAAGGATTCCGTCCAAGAGTTTGCAACTTCCGAACAAATAAATTGGCATTTTATACCTGCTAGATCCCCTCATTTCGGCGGACTTTAGGAGTCGGCAGTACGTTTATTAAAGTTGCATTTGAAGCGAACTATAGGAGAGGCTTGCTTAACTGTTGCGGAGCTGACGACAATGTTAGTTCAAGTAGAGGCTATGCTGAATTCCAGACCTCTGACTAAGGAGACATTCTCCGATTAGAAAATGGCCAGGAGTCAAGGCACTTAGGTCATTCGGATCGTCCGATAAAGGTATCGGATGATCCGAATGACCTAAGTGCCTTGACTCCTGGCCATTTTCTAATCGGAGAATGTCTACAAAGCCATCCTGAAGTGGGTCTGAAGGAAATTCCAGTGAACAGATTATCAAGATGGCAACACGTCCAGCAGCTCAAACAACGGTTTTGGACTAGATGGCAGAAGGAGTATTTAAGCACATGTCAACAGAGAACCAAGTGGAAAACTGACTCCAGGAATGTATTCAAGGTTGGACAATTAGTTATGTTGAAGGAGGGTGAAAGTAACCCTCTGAAGTGGAAACTCGCCCGAATTCTGGAAATACACCCTGGTACAGATGAAATCGTAAGAGCTGTGACTGTAAAAACTGAACAAGGCATATATAAAAGAGCTATTGTTAATGTGACGCCGATCACGGAGTAATTATAGACATTTCTTATATTAGTTTAAAACATTTAGTTAGATCCGACATTCATTTGTTTATTTCTTTTATTACGCGCGTGAATATAAGTTATGTTCTAGATTATACGTTAGAATAAGTTTTTATTTGTGTTATTGAAAATATGTAATATTTGTCAAGGCGGGTGGCGTGTTGTGTCTGTCGGATTGTAAGCTATATTTCTGTTATTTGTATTGCGCGGTACTGTACTGTTAATTATCGATCGCGTTATCGACTGATTGTTATTGTAGTTCTGCGCCATAGAGCGCTGTTGATATGCGCGCGCATCGCTCTTCTTCGGTTGCAAGCGTACATCGAGTAGATACGAACTAGTGAGCATACAAGAAGCACATGTTCGTTCAGCGTAATAAAAACAAAGTCAGTATAGATAAGTGTTACTCATTTATCCGAAACCGCAGTCAACAATAATACTTTCAAATATCGTCTGAACAGACGCTTCTGATTTTCATTATAATCAGTACCGTCTGAACAGACGCTTCTGATTTATTTATATATTGTAGATATTTTTTTCGTCTCTCCGACTCTAAGTTATAAATAATTTTTTTTCTAATAACCACTATCGTCAGAACTAACGCTTCTGATTTTTATTACAATCAATATCATCTGAACAGACGCTTCTGATTTTCATTACAATCAATACCGTCTGAACAGACGCTTTTAATTTTTATTACAATCAGTACCGTCTGAACAGACAATGCTGTTTGAATAAATTCTTCTGATTTATATCACAATCAATATTTAAGGAAAAAGCTTATTGCTCTCTACAATTTCCATAAAGTGTCGTCTCATGCACTTTACATCCTTGCAATATTTCTCGTTACAAGGATTGCCTTCTAAGGCTACTGTTGTGGCAAAAGCTGCAGCGTAAATTCCACAACATATACCATTAGGTTATGCTACAACTTTTTCAAAAATCATATTACTAGGCTTCACATTCGGGTAACGAAGATGTATATAATTTTTCTCCTTGGCAGTCAACTTGTTGTATGTACAATCAGATATACTATCGTATACGTGAAGTTTGATGCCATCAAAATATATACATCGCCAGTGATCGGTACAATTCCCTCCAATTATTTGTATGCTTTTATCGCTATGACTAGCTTGAATAATATGAGGATACTCTAGATACACTTTGCGTTTCGAAAGAAGAAGTTTCTCTAATAACACGTAAAAATCGATTTAATGATTTATCGTTTACTTTGCTGTATATAATTAAAACATTCTCCTTCACCGAAGACAGTGAAGGAATATCTAGAAATTTTCTTTGTCTTGCCATATCAGCTTCAGTTATATCGTGTTCGTTATCATAACTAATAATGACACAATCATCATCTTGTTCGACATTTACAACATCTACAGTAGCAGGAATTGTTGTTTCTGTCAGCGAAATGTCACTCTTACATTTTTTTTCTTCGTTGGTATTATTGCTCTCGATTGAATATATCCGTTTTTTCCGGTTAATTTTTTTAGCTGCTTCTCCCTGCGCTTGTAAAATACATCCTGGCTCTCTTATAGGCATATTCCTATTATAGTGGCTATCCACGATTTCTGGAAGCATGCATTCATAATAGAAGCGTATTAGACGAGGCAGCAATTCTTTTTTCCAGAAAGCATTGTCTTTATTTATGTGTACTATTTTCATACTTTTAGGTGTCCATATTACAAAAACACAATAGTTGCACTTTGTTATATTCAACTGTCCCTGAATTTGATAAAAATATTTATGATTACGATTCATTTTCTCTGGGTCTTTCTTATTAAAGATGGCTCTCAAAGGAACCAATGTCTCTACGGCTTCTTCCACTGTTAAATGTTCAGCCGACTGAGGACATTTTATCTCCACGATACCATCTTCATCTATTAATCAGGAGTGCAACCCAGGCATGGATTTTCAGAGTCAATAAACAATCCGCAAAATTTTATTTCTTTATTCATTTTACAGCTAATTGTTTCTTCGCTACTTCCTCTCTATCGCGACCGTATTTCATGGCTGCAGTACGAGTGGATATAGAATATTTATTACTGTCGCTGCGCAAGATGTTGTGGATCTCATACGACATATTGAGTCAAAATTGGACGCTGTCAACCTTTTGTCTCTCAGTGAAAACCAAAGTCCGGATTCTCTTTGATCAGTCGTTTGTCGTTCTAGGTCTTTCCAGTTTTTGGCTTCTTCCAACAACTTGTCTAAATGTTCTTGTCGATGTTATTGGAATACATCATCTTCAAGATCTGGTTTTTGTGCTTGCGGACCATAATCACAACCAGTTTTAGCTTCTTCTTTTATTTTTCTCTTCTTTCCATCTCTTTGTCGAGATTCTTTAGTTATGGCTATTTTTTTGCCGTTCTTTTTCTAGTTTCTCAACAATTGAAAGAACAGTTTTATTCATGCCTTTATATATTTCTGTAAGGGCTTGTTGCGTATTGTGTTGCAAGACTGCTCCCGCAATTCTAGCGTTGTAAGAGCCTCGTTTTCCATAATCTATACGCTTTCCGCTAATTTCCTTACAGATTATCGAATAAAGGCTTCTGCTGGATTATTCGTTAAATTAAGTAGTAGGCTATCTGAGTAAGCGGCTATGTACATGAAGGCGTTCTGTATTTTTCCATACAGACCATGCAGTTTCAGAAGCAGTACATAGTTCTTTGTTCCAAAATCATTTTCACATTTTCGACGTTCTTTGCACCGTTTGTGCTCACCGAAAACGTGATTAGGAATATTAAAAATATCTTTTCGTAATTCCCTAGCTTTTTCATATGGAGGTTGCATTTCTTTTTGACGTACAGAGGATGCCTCTATTACCTCTTTGCGTAGTCTTTCTACGTTTTTTTTAACAATATTGCGGACCTCGACAAAACTTCCTTTGCATTTTTGGTTGCGTCATTTCAGCCACGCTTAGCAGTTTCTTTTTTAAATTTCGAAGCAGATGGTTGGTGCATTCTATTTTTTGCACCTTCACCATTTGCTCCTTATATGGTCTACTGTCCACAATACGTTTATATACATTACTGTCGCTATCAGCGATAAGTGATCTATAAATTACTCCATGCATTTCGAAACTACTTTGAAAGCTTTCTGCAATTGCATCGCTCTCCATCTTTCCGGAATTTTCATTGCGAGCAAAATTTTTATAACATTTATGAGGTCGCGGTTCATATCCTTTTCGCTCTACCATATCATGAATCGCACAGTTTTATTGCGGATGCACAAAGAGAACTTTACCTGTGCGGTAACCAACTATAGCACCTACACCGGAAGAAGCATCGTAGCCTTTGCCGTACGATCTCTTCATCCAACTATCATCCGCTACAACAGTTATGTACGGAATGCTATTTATTGTTTCGTTGTTCTCTATAGCGAGTTGTTTCTCAATCTCGCCTGCTATTTTCATTTTTTCCCAGGCAGTTTTTTGGAATTCATCAACTACATCTTCGCGATATTTAATATATGTAGGCTCAGTCATACAACGAATATTCATACCTGCACACATCTCATGCAGCGTTGAATATCCAATTCCAGCTGTATTACGGGTTTACACAAGGTTTAAAAGTTCGCACGTGAGCGCGCCATTGCGCGCGCTAGCAAACGGCGCTACAGTCGTACCAACTGGCAACTAGGGCGGCGCTGCCGGGTAAGTCCCACTTCCGTGAGGACGTGCGTGCCTTGTTCCGCCATTATCGAGTATCTCATTGAGAATGTATGTGCGGATTAAGTGCGCACAGAATTTTGCAACAGGTCGACAGACCTGTTTAGAACGTTGCAAGGTCGCGACCGAGGAGGCGAAGTGCATCCTCAGATCACCCTTGACGAAGTCGACTGGCACAGAAAGACAGTGCTTGCCGGTCAGCGATCTGAGGAATCTCGGTCAACGTGTACGGGCGGCCATTGTTGCTTTACTGTTCATGTACGCAATGTGTGTGTACTGGGGCCGACAATGCGGGAGCGAGCGGCTAGCTGCGTACTACTAAGTATGAGAGCTCTCTGGACGATTTGCTATGATACTTGAATTTCTATCAAATAAAACGTTAACAATTTTCTTCCTTGGGTAAGTTGCATCAAATAGTTCATCACCAGCAACGATGCGCTCGGGATTCCTGACGACCTGTTTGCCGCTCATACGATGCGGCTAAAGAAACGACGCGGCTAGAGATCCGATATCCTGATCGCCGCTCACACAACCAGGATCGGTGCAGCTAGAGATTTGGCAACGCGACTATAACTCATTCTACCAGAATCATCGCGACTGGAGATTCACGACAATTGGACCGATGCTCATGTGAGCTCGGAATCGACACGTTTATGAGAACTTGCACCTTTTAATTATATTTCGTTACCCGACTCAATTTGTGATACGCTCAACGGAACAGTCATTAGCGTTAGATGATCCAAAGAGACTTTACATTTCCGATACTTGAGATAACTTGCGTCATTCATTAACGTAAACGTTATTACGTCAGACACATTTTATCGATTTTGTAATGAGTAATTCGAATGACTGAGAGCATTAATAGCTTCACTATCTTGACTTTATGAGTAATAATTGTTCGGCAGTATTTGCGTCCGTTCATTGTGCATGCTTTGACTTTGTTTATGTTCAAGTTGTATTGATATCAATTTAAGTTCATATTACCATTTATTATACTGCTATTGAAGTATGTGTTTGTCTTGAGTCAGATCGAAGCATTCAGTGCTCAGAGAGCTAACAAATAATCCTTCTAAATAAAACATAGATACGTGAATTATCATTCACGACCAAATATAACTTTAATCATTATTAGAATCAAATCACACTAATCTTTGATTTCATTTTATGTTTAACTTTCTTTCGAATAAGTTAATCAATTAATCAGATAAATTCTGAACTTGAGTATCAGTTACGACTAATCCTATAATAACTCAATCTGACTCTGCTTTAATAATCAATGATGTGAGAATACTGATTTATATGCGATTGTGTTGTCA